CCACGTGGGAGTACGCTGAGGGGACAGCCACCCCCCCCATCGGCACACCGGTACGCACGCCCTGTCCCGCCAGCACCTACGGCCCCGCCAGGAGTTGGGGAGGCTGAGGGCAAACGGGTAGGCTCCCCAGTACGAACTGCTCAGAGAGGAAGCAATAGGGTCCCCGACAGACAGGGACCAGCCCAGGTCTGGTCTGGGTACATGGGGGTTTCATTCCTACCCCCGTGCCAGTCCCAGAAGGAATGTCAGCGATGCACCAGAGCACTGGAAAAGGGAGCAGGGTAAGGACCGGAGAGGACCTACCATCCTTTATCTTCTCGTCCTGAGGGAAAGGCCCGTCGGGAGGCACGTCGGCAGCGATGAGCACAGCCCGGGAGTCCTCCAGCACCTGCCAGAGCCCTCGGTTACTGCCCCGTCCTCCCAGCCCTTCCCTGTACCCCGGGGGTGCTGCCTCAGCCGCCCTGCTTTGAAGACCCACAGGGTCCTCCCTTCAGGTCCTAAAGCCCACCTAGCTCATCTCTTTGACCCCACAGAGGCCCCCTGGCCCTCCCCGCTTCTCCTGCCCACCCTCCCCAGCCCCACAGCACGCCAAGCCCAGAGGGCGGCCCGTGCTGTAGCTCACTTTGAAGAGTCCCTTGAGCATGATGTCAATGATTTTGTACTGCTGGTTGACATCGTTGAGCTCGATCAGGTTCTTCAACGCGTTCATCTGGTCCTTGCGCTTCACTTCAAACAGCTTCTTATCTGCACTGCCGTCAAGGGCGCCGCCGGCACGCTCCCACCATGTTCCCACCATGCTCCCGCCCTCCCTCTCCGCCGGGCACCCGGCACCATCCCAGCCCCCCAGTTCTCCACGGGGTGCCTGAAGGCTGGGGGGCAGCACCTGAGCCAGGATGAAACACGGGTTTCCAGTGAGCCCCTTTGCCCGGACACCCCAGCGGGGGGAGCTTAACAATGCTGGGCACTCGTGGGGAGCTTTCTACTTGCCAGCCCCTGCTCTGGCTGACGGGCTGGAGGAGAACATGAACTCCCACCTTCCCCGTACATGTCTCCACGAGCACACGTGTTAAAATACCTTTTCATACTTTGCCTGTTCACCAGGGGATGCTGCTGTGTGCTAAGAAGGGCTTGCCATTATCTCACCTCCTCATGGGCAATAAATGCCCGTGGCACAGAGCAGACCAAGTGCCACAAGCCCAGGAGCCCGCTTCCATCATCCCAGCCGGTGACCCCAAAGCACTGAGACCCACAGGCGTGCTCTGTCACCCAGCTGGCCATGCTACTCCCAAGAGCGGACTGGGAAACGTGCTCAGCACCCAGCATTGCTGGAGCAGAAAGGAAAAGTGCTGCGCTCAGGAGAACACCAGGCACCACTGAAAAACCCGTCTCTGCTCTTGCACCGACCCAGGCACTTGCTTAGCAAACCCAGGAGCTCGGGTAAAGCCCTTCTACAGAAGAGCAAAGAGGCAACTGCCTAGCAGTTCTGGGTCCTCTCTCTTCCACCCCCCCTGTGCCCCCTTCCGTGGTCTCTGACTTTTTCCCTGCGCGTGAGCTCCCTCCAGCCTCAGCGAGCATGTACGCGGGACACGAGGGGCAGGCTGCAGAGAAGGATACAGATTTCCAAGCCAGAGTCCATCCTCTGTTTTTCCAGGTCTGCGAAGCTGCCCCGGGACAGCAGCAGCACCAGCAGAAAGGGGCAGACGAAGAGAAAATCCATGTCGGTCGCTGCAGCCTGGAACAAAATGGACCAACAAAACCAATGACCAGCGGGGAGACTTAACCAAAGGGAGAAGCCACATGAGCCTCTCAGGACCGATGGCACATCGCCCTCGGCACCAGGGTCCTTGCCTGCCTCTCCCTTGTCCCTGCAAGGGGTTTGAGGGAGACAGCGGCCGGAGCAGGGCCACGGGGCAATGCTGCAGCCGGCCTGCTCTCCCCTGCAAGGGAAGCCCTGGTCTCCCCCTCCTCTCTACCTGCCTCCACTGCCAGCTGCGCACCGGCTGGGCCCCCAGGGATCTGACCGAGCACTGGCCCAGCGGAAAAATTAAGTCCTACCCCTTCTCCCAAAAATAACAGCTAGCTTTTTGCTGGGTTTGCAAATTAGAGCAGCCGAGCAACCGAAGCAGCAGGGCTGAAGGGAGGAGGAGGATCGCCAAGGGGCTGAAGTCCACCTCTCCTTCAAGCACCAAGCTTGGCCAGCTCAGCTGTCTCACTTCACCTCTCGGGGTGCTGGACCCTTCCCCTCACTACAAGCCGGGCGCCAGCTGTGGGCCCCACACCGAAAAGCAGTAGTTGGGTGACCTGGTGGTAACTCCCCCCTCGCCCCAAGCATGTCCCTCCCCAGGCGGCGCCTGAGGCTCTGCAGGGATGCGGTCGGGCAGAGCTGCTCCTGGCCACGAGGGTCCCTCAGACAGAAGAGAGGCTAGAGGAGAATGTCCTTGAGAACAAGGACCCTGGTCCCTGGGACAGCCTAGACCTTGAAAAGGAGAGCAGTACCTCACCCTCCAGGCAGCGGGACTTGAGGCGGCCTGTCCGCAGGGATGAGGTTTCCGCGGAGCTGAGCAGCAGCCACCGGCAATTACAGAACCAGCAGCAGCTCCTTCAGAGGCATCCCCTGAGCCACCTCCTGCTCCCGAGGGAAAGGCAGGTGTGTAAGGCCACCAGAGCTGCCCTCACCCTGCCGTCCCGCTCCCCTCCTGAGCCCAAGCTCCCCTGCCCAGCTGAGCCTCCCTCTGCGATGCCCCAACGCTGGAACAGAAACAAATCCCTTCTTCACACCAAATCTAGGGGGTTTTTTTTCTTGTTGTTTTTCTTTTTTAAACAAATATAATTTGTTCAACCTCAGGCCCATGAGTGAAGCAAAGCAGGCAGCACCGGCAGCTCTCCCAGCCCTGCAAGGAGCAGCAGCAGCTCCCGCTCCTGCCCGGCACCTCCTGCCGAGGCTGAGCCAAGCGCCCTCACCCCCCCGGCACGGGCAAGGAAACGGCGTCAGGCAAACACGAGAAACCCTCTGCATTATTTCGCTGTTGTGCTTTGCAAAAGGCAGCGCCCCTGGAAGGGAACAGATCAGAGTAACTACAACCAGCGTTACAGAGGAAGACACAGCTGCCCCCGGTGTGGGCTCAGCATCACACCCTGCATTTCGGACACAATGCAGAGCCGAGATGGCAGCACAAGCCTCCCATGCCAGGCCCGGCATCTGTCCCCTCTGCCCACTGTGGCGTGAGGCTTAAGGCAAATTCCAGCCACTCTGAAGGCCTCAAGGTGCGCCGACAAGCCAAGGCTGTAAGGAGAAATTCTCCAGCCCAAGCAAGATGCTCTGCTGGACCCACCAGCCTGGTTGGCTTCCAAGAGACTGCTTCACCCTACCAAAAACCACGACCCAAGGGCCCAAGGCCTGGCTCAGCGAGAAGGTGAGGGTCCCCCCTCTGCAGAGCCCCCCACAGCTGCTCGCTCCCTCTCAGGGTGTCAGGGAGGAGGAAGAGCAGCAACTCAAAAGCAAAAACTGTGACTGCCCTGGGACCTGGCCCCCTGTTTGCCCCTCGGATGGGGCACACGGCCGTAAGGACCAGGCTGGCTGTTTGCTGTGCTCGTGGAGAATCGAAGAGAGAACTTGGAGGCAGCAGATGGCCTCCAGACCAGACTGAAAGGCAAACAGCAGAAATGCTGCCCACAACAGCTCTGCCACGCTGCCCACAGCAGTCCCAGCACGCCTGGTCAGGGCAGGGGCTCCTGTGTCCCCGCTTCCGACATGGGAGCCGGGTGGCCGGAG